GCATGTGACCATTCCTATTTCCTTTACCAATCTTAAAATAAGTTGTAGCTAAATACATAAAGTATCCATCCTCTCATGCATGCATCTGGATGCAAATGGTCTTTATTACCATGATCATTCTCAGTTCTTAAATGTAGATTTGTTGGGTTTCTGTGCTCAGAGTGGACTTTGTTTTGGAGGCTCTAAAAGTGATTGCACGTCTGTTTTATTTCAGTCTCTTCTTGAATAATGCTGAAATCCTCAAATCAGTATTTAAGTGCAAAAAGCAAAGATTGCAATTCTCGCTGTGCTACAAAAAGCTTTAAAAGGGAGGGGAAGGGCATGCAAAAATTACTTTTTTTGAGCTTTATATCATGTTATAGTCATCCCCACATCAAAAACGCACCCAGGGTGTTGCTTTGACCCATTCATTCATGTTTGASAAATCCTTGAATCTCCTCATGTGGAGCTACAAAGCACCGCCTATTTGTGCAAAGCTCCTCCCTGTAGATCAGTCTGCAGCTGAGCTCCTGCCCCACAGAGCACCCCTCCCCTGACGCAATGTTTGGTGAAGTGCTGAAGTGGGAGTGTTGGAAATAGTAGGAGGTTTTTAAAGAGACAGAGGCCAATTTCAAGGCTTTTAGATAGGCAATGACGCACAGTCAGTTATTTTTGATTAAACAGCATTTTCAGAACAACTGAAGGTCACATAGTTAATTGATTGTCRTACAGAATTGAAGTATGTGCCTGAAAAATGCATTTAAAAAGTGCCTATTCTCTAATCAGAGCAATCCTTCTGGTAACTTTTCCTCAAGTTTATGGATTTGTGTTTGAGCGGCAGTGTTGAAAAGTAACCTGTTTTCTGTACTAAAACAATAAGAGCAGCAGGTCTGAAAAAGTCATGGGAGTTACAGTTTTCCTTGCTGAAACGAGGCAATAAATTTTTAAAACAGTTGACTCATGGGGGAGAATGTGGCTAATACAGTTTTTGGAAACAACGCACTCAGTTGGCATTTTGCTTTTTTGTGTGTAGGTGTCATTTGGAATGAAGAAACTCTGGACGTCTACCTTGAAAATCCGAAAAAGTACATCCCGGGCACCAAGATGCTGCTCAACGGAATCAAGAAGAAAAGCGAATGAGCAAATCTCATTGCTTATTTAAATGAAGTGACTTCCTGAAATACTGAAGCATGCCAATAAGGTGCTTTTATGACCGAAATAGCTCATATTTTGCATTTTATATTTCTAGATTTATACGAACAAATGTTTTTTTAACTGCTTAGGCATGGTGATATTTTTGTGTAGATTGCTGTTGTTGTCACCCTTCCTACAGTTTGTAGATTTTCTCCAAGATTAAAATTGTTTTCTTCTTGTACCTTGTTAACTCTTTTGATTTGTATTTAAATGGATAAATTGTGTTAGATTTATATTTATTCATCAGAAAACATTGAGTCTGACTATTTTATTCAAACAATCTTGTAATTCAAAAAGGAAAATGTCTTGTTTATTTCATTTTATATGACATAAGGATAATAAGAGCTGCAAAAGTGTTAAACCCTCCAGTGTCATCTTAGTACTTTTTTTTGCCTTATGACATTTAATCAAGTTTTTATTTGATTACAAGTAATAATTCTTCAGAAATACCTAATTTTATTGAAGTARACTTGGAAAAAATAAGATCCTAAACAACAATAATAAGCTGAAAAGTGATGAGTGCATCTGTGTTTAAGGAAAATTTGAATAATAGTTCTGTTAAATTTGGGTGGCATTTAAATGCATTTCAAAGTACTTACACTAGCTGTAAAATATTGTTTACTTTTCAGTGTTTAATATCTCACTATACTTTCTTCAAACACGTTTTGCTTTAGTGTTTTTCCTAAATCAGTTTAACGAAACATTTAAAATGTGCATTTTTGTCTCCACTGTATTTCTTTTCACTGCTCATTTCCAATTAAATCCACTCCGACTTGATACATGTCTTCTTTTTATACCTTAAATAACAAAACGAATGCATCAGCAACAATCATAATATATAATAAAAAAAAACAATTTGAAATGTGTGCATAAAAAACAAAAGAAACTGCAGCTGTAGAAGCGCAACCTGACATGACCGRAACTAGCCACCAGAGGGCGCCATTGTTCCGGTTAAGAACCCATCTACGCGGCCACAAACCGTGCCAGACATGCCAGCCTGATCCAGCCGTCCAGCTGTCCTGAAGCCGGTCCACATCAACAGTTAATGCAGATCCAGTGGACCTGCCGGGACTGAGTTCTGCTGGGCTCTGCAGGAAGTTCACCAGCAGAGGAGGAAGAATTACAAAGAGGCTCCTTCATCGACAAACGTGTCGTTATTGACCGRCGAAAGGGGTAAGAAGCTGGTCGATAAGTGGATCCAATTTATGATCCTTTCAGGCTGCACGCCTCGGTCCTTCATTGGGACTGCTGCACGTTTCAGCCAGCTGTGAGGAGCTCCCTCGAGTTCAAGCGGAAGGTAAGGCAGACCCTCACTCTAATCAGCAGGACAGGGTGTCTTTAACATCTCAGCATCTCCACATCCCAGTCCTTTATGATTGACCATGAGCTGAAATCTGACCTGACTGTAAAGCGCCTGGGTGAATGAAATCTGTGGCAGCCTGTTGACTTGGGTCAGTGGAGAGAGTGGTCTAATTCTGGCATGGGCGGCTGGAATTGCAGCGGTGACTGCATCTGCTGCTGCAGTGGAGCTTCAACAAGTTGTTCCTGCACACACACACACACACACACACACACACACACACACACACACACACACACACACACACACACACACA